TAGGGGAGGCCCCGGGCGGAACTCACCTTCTCCCCAGGAGCCCCGATGAGTCCCTGAGGACCAGGAATTCCCTGGGGACATAAAAAAGGGGGGAGGACACAGGCATGAGAAGGAAGCAGCTGGCACCGCAGTCGGGGACACTGGAGAGGTCCGAGGCCGCAGCTCACCCCACAGGCCCTTCTCTGGTCTAATGAAAATAAATAAATAAATGGATAAATAAAGTTAAATAAAATAATTATTTAATAAAGAAAGAAAGAAGCAGCTGCAGCATCTGGCAGAGGAGATGGGGACAGATGGGCAGGAGAGCAAAGCTGAGGACGTGGGGACCCTGGCAGGCTCTCCCCGCCTGAGTCCCATGGGCTGGGTGGGCTTCTCTGTCTCCCTGCAGCATCCCTTCCATAGCTCCTCCTTCCTGTTGCTTGTAACCAAACCTCCCCCCAAGGACACGTTGTAACATTTGTAACTGCCCAGGGTGCGTGGCTATTCCAGGTCACAGAGCTGAAGCGAGAAGAGGGGAGGACCCGGGCGGAACTCACCTTCTCCCCAGGAGCCCCGATGAGTCCCTGAGGACCAGGGATTCCCTGGGGACATAAAAAAAGGGGGGAGGACGTAGGCATGAGAAGGAAGCAGCTGGCACCGCAACTGGCTGCCAGTCAAGCACGCCTGTCATCTTGGTAATGAGTAGGCTGGGGTAGGAGGATGGTGACATGAGACCCCATCAAAAATCCCTCTCTCAGGACCAGCAGTTAGTATAATGGCCACATCGCTGGACTCCCACATAGTCGACCGCGGTTCAAGTCCCGGACCTGGTGGCTTAGAATTCACGCCGGGCACGTGTGCATGCGTGCCCAAGATCCCGAGAGGAGAATGGAGAAGGGATTGCAGTGTGGGCATCTCCCCTCTGGGGGGTGATTTCTCACTTTCTGTCTCTCTGTCTCTCTATAGCAAAAACCTCTCTAAAAAAGAAAAGAAAAATCCCTCTCTCTCGGGGACCAGCAGGTGGCATGGTGGTTAAGGTGCTGGACACCCCCACACGGCCAACCATGGTTTGAGTCCCAAAACTGGCAGCTTGCTTTCTCATTCTCCCTCTCTCTTTCTGTCTCTTTCTCTTTCTGGTGAGCTCATGTGCCCTATAAAAATTAAATAATAGGGAACCAGCAAATAGCGTAATGGTTACATTGCTGGACTCCCATGTAGTCAGTCAATCCTGGTTCGAGCCCCAGACCCGGTGGCTTAAAACTCATGTGCGCATGTGTGCATGCGTGCCCAAAATCCTGAGAGGAGAATGGAGGAGAAGGGATTGCAATGTGGCCATCCCCCCTGGGGGTGATTTCTCACTTTCCCTCTCACTGTCTCTCTCTGGTGAGTACACATACCCTAAGGCAAAAACCTGACAATAATAATAATAATAAACAAATGGGACCAGCAGATGGCATACTGGTTATGTTGCTGGACTCCTACGTAGGCAACCGCAGTTCAAATTCTGGAACCAGCGGCTTAAAACTCACACCGGGTGCATGTGCATGTGTGCCCAAAATCCCGAGAGGAGACTGGAGAAGGGATTGCAGCATGGCCATCTCCCCTGGGTGTGTGTGTGTGTGTGTGTGTGTGTGTGTGTGTGGCTTCTTGCTTTCTGTCTCTCTGTCTCTGTCTCTCTGGCGAGTGGACTTGCCCTACAGCAAAATCTCTCTCAAAAACAAAACTAACGATGGGGCCAGCAGGTGGCACGGTTGGTAAGGGCGCCAGACTCCCACGTGGCTAACCGTGGTTCACGTCCCGGATGTGGTGGCTTGCTTTCTCGCTTTCTCGCCTTCTCTCTCTTTCTCTATCCCTCTCAGGCCAAATTTAAAATAAATAACTAGATAAAGTTAAATAAAATATTTTTTAAAATAAAACAATAAACAAGCAAAAACTGAATCGGCAGAGACATCAGACAACAGAGGGGGACGTGCAGGGGGAGAAAGGCCAGGAAAAGGCAGACAGGGATGCAGAGCCAGCGACATTCTCACCGGGCGTCCTGGGGGGCCGGGGGAGCCTCTGGGGCCGATCAGTCCTCTGGGGCCCTGCAAGGAACGAGGATTTATCCCAATGTCATTGCTACAAGGCACTAGAATTCCAGGGACACTCGAGCCTGGGCCCTAGGAGTTCTGATCTCTCCCCTGTACCAAGCGGGGGACCCAGGGACCCCCGATACTCACCGGCTCCCCGGCCTGGCCAGTGGGTCCTGGAGGTCCCTCTGCTCCCTGCGGGAAAGTGGCATTATTTGAGGAGGGGGAGGTACAGCCCTTGGAAAACCACCTTTTCCTCCTCTGGGCAGCCCCTTCCAGGGGGTCTCAGAATCAGGCAGCAGGACCAGCAGGTGGCATAACGGTTACATCATCGAACTCCCACGTAGTCGACCAGGGTTCGAGTCCTGAACCCGGTGGCTTAAAACTCACACTGGGCGCATGTGTGTGCGTGCCCAAGATCCCGAGAGAAGAATGGAGGAGAAGGGACTGCAGCGTGGCTATCCCCCCTGGGGGGTAGTTTCTTGCTTTCTATCTCTGTCTGTCTCTATCTCTCTGGCGAGCGCATGCGCCCTATAGTAAAAATCTCTAAAAAAAGAAAAAAAGGAATCAGAATGCGATGACCAGGACCCTGCAGAATGCACTGAGTTTAGGGAATTCCATGCAGGCCCCCGACCCCCACCCTGGGCCTCCCATTCTAAGTCTCACCTTCTAACCCCAATGCTCGCCTGCAGCTCACGAGCTGTTTATTTCTTTATTTGAGGTTTTTACCATAGAGTGCATGCACTCACCAGAGAGAGAGAGAGAGAGACAGAAAGTGGGAAATCACCCCCCCCCTCAGGGGGATGGCCACCCTTTAATCTCTTCTACTCTTGGGATTTTGGCCACACACGCACATGTGCCTGGTGTGATTTTTTTCAAGCCTGCAGGTCTGGGACTCGAACTGCAGTCAGCCATGTGGTATCCAGCACCGTAACCACTAGCGCCACCTGCTGCTCCCGCCTCAGGCAGCCCCCTGGATTCTCGCCTCCTCTCAGACTCCGTTGAGCTGCCTAGCCGCCAAGCCCTCCCCTCACTCTTCCAAACTTACCTTCTTACCGTCCTCTCCAGGGGGGCCAGGCTGCCCCACGTGGCCAAAGTCACCCTGCAGCGGGGAACAGACGGGTGTTTGAGTGGAACGAGATGGCGGAGACCAGCAGCCCAGGGAGAGAGCTGGGCCTGAGGGATGAGGGCTGAGGGCTGGGACTGGACACAGAGGCCCTGAGGGAAGGGCGGAGGCCATGAATATGGAGAGGGGGCCTCGTACACTCACCCTTTGACCTTTCTCACCAGGCAGCCCCGGCAGGCCATCAAAGCCCCGGTCACCCTGTCCAAAGAGACACCAGCTGAGACTTGAACCTTCAACCTTAACGACCACATTCCCCCATACCAAACCCCAGCTGCATCACCTACCTTGGGTCCTGTGTCTCCTGGGAGGCCCCGGGCTCCATCTGCTCCAGGGCGACCCTATGGGGAAAGTGAGTCCAGAGGTCAAGGACAAAGCTCTCCCAGCCCCCTCCCCCAGATTAGGGACTCCATTACAGGTGACATCATCGAGGTATCTATTTCCATCCAGGAGCGCCTGCCTCACACAGATTCTTTCTGGGGGAGTCTTTGTATACTGATTTTTTATTTTTTTTTTTTTGAGAGGTTTTTGCTATAGGGCGCGTGTACTCGCCAGAAAGACAGAGAGAGACAGAGAGACAGAAAACAAGAAGTCACCCCCCCAGGGGCCATGACCACACTGCAATCCCTTCTCCATTCTCCTCCTGGGATTTTTGCGCACGCACACACATGCACCTGAAGTGATTTTCGAGACACCGGGTCCAGGACTTGAACCATGATTGGTCATGCATGAGTCCAGTGCCGTAACCCCTCTGCCACCTGCTGGTCCCCATGCATTGTTCTTTATCCTTAGGATCTCCCTCTAGTCTACAGCATCATCGCCGGAATGAAGAATCCCCGTCTTTGGGGGTGTAGGGAAGGAAATTAGGGAGAAAAAAAATAGAGAGGCAAGACATTTGAGGAACACAGAAATGTTTTATAACCTGTTAAAGATAATGGGTATAATATCCTCAGCGGGACTGGTCTGAGGTGTATTTCATGTTGGGTAAATTCTCTTTACTAGATAAATGATGTATAGCAATCAAATGTATAAAATAACAATAAAATATAAAATGCAAAAAATAAATAATTCTAAAAAATGCTATATCTTATGGGTGGGCCCAACAGGTGGTATAGTTAAGGCACTGGACTCACATGGCTGACCATGGTTCAAGTTCCTGACCTAGCACCTTGAAAATCAAACTGGGGGACCAGCAGGTGGCGTGGTGGTTAAAGTGCTGGACACTCCCACATGGCTGACCATGGTTCAAGTCCCAGATCTGGTGGTTTCCTTTCTCTCTCTGGCCAAATTAAAATAAATGAATAAATAACTTAAAAATTAAAAAAATAATAAAATAACAAGTGGAATTAAATAATCTTTTAAAAAAATTACTTATTTAATTTAATTCATTTATTTTTTGATTATGTTATTACATTTTATTTATTCATTCCTTTATTATTATTTTTTAATTTGACCAGAGAGAGAGAGACAGAAAGTGAGAAAGTAAGCCACAGGTACAGGACTTGAACTGTGGTCGGCCATGTGGGAGTGCCCAGTGCCTTAACCACCACACCCCCTGCTGGTCCCCTAATTTTATTTATTACTATTATTATATAATTTGTTATAGGACATGTACGCTCACTAGAGAGAGACAGAGAGAAAAAGAGAATATGAGAAAGCAAGTCACCAGGTCCGGGTCTCAAACTGCAGTCGACCACGTGGGAGTCCAGTGCCTTAACCATGCCACCCGCTGGCCCCTATGCCAGCCTCTGCATATACTGCTCTTCCTCATCTGTTCATCTGGCTAGATTGCAGACCTCAGAGCAAGCATCCCTCCTGCTTGCAAATCCTCCTGGTTCTACGACCTAACCAGATTATTTTGCAGTGTGCTCGGTGGGGCTGCCATTCCCAGTTCTTGGCTCCCACTCACAACACCCCCAAGCCCTGGGGCTCAGGTGAGGTGTTGGGGAATGGGGTAAGGGGTGGCCCGGGGATTTAAGAGTCACTCACCATCTTGCCTTCTGGGCCAGGAGGCCCGAGAGGTCCTTGCAGACCTCGAGGACCCTGGAAGAGAAAGCCAAGAATGAGGAGGAGGAAGTTGTATTATTATTGTTGTTGTTATTATTATTTATTGCAGGAAGGGGTTATTCTCAAGCGTTTCCTAGGAAGGGCAATGACTACAAGGCTATCCCGGCCCCTGGGCCATTTTCCCCACCAGAACATTAGCCAGGGGTGCTGGGGAAAGACCCTTCCCCACCACTCCTGCCCCGTGCCCCCGAGGCTCACCTGTGGCCCCATTTCTCCCGCCTCTCCTTTCAGACCCGGATATCCAGGGAGACCCTTGGAGGGGCAGAGAGGGGGCATGTGAGAGGGAGCCACCCTTCCCCGATGTGTCTCCCCTCCATGCAGGGCCCTTACTCACCACGGGGCCTGGGCGCCCAGTGAGTCCCACGGGGCCAGGTGGGCCTTTCATGGAGAGCTAGAAAGACAGAGGGAGACGGTGCCTGGGGCTCCCACGACCGCCCACAGCTCCACCCACAACATCCTCAGGAGACAGAGGGCCCCTGCCTCCTCGCTTCTTTCTTCTTTCTTTCTTTCTTTCTTTCTCTCTCTCTTTCTTTCTTCTTTCTTTCTTTCTTTCTTTCTTTTTTTAAGTTTTGCTATAGGGTGTGTACTTCATGAGAGAGAGAGTGAATGATCACCCCCTGGGTGGGGGGATGGCCACACCACAATCCCTTCTCCTCCATTCTCCTCTCGGGATCTTGGGCACGCACGCACACGCACCCAGCATGAGTTTAAACCGTCGGGTCCAGGACTCGAACCACAGTCGGCTATATGAGAGTTCAGCAACATAGCCATTACGCTAACTGCTGGCCCCCACGCCTGGTGTGATTTTCAAGTCTCTGAGTTCAAGACTCGAACCGTGAAGTCGGCCATGTGGGATTCAGCCACCCTAGCCTCCACGCCACCTGCTGTTCCCATCCAGCCCCTCTTTGTCCCTCATCACTGTCCCTCAGGCTCCTCCCCTCCCACCACTCCCCCTGCAGCCCCGTCCTACTCACCTGAGCCTGCTGCAGGACAGCCTGGGCCTGGGCCTGCTGGAAGGAGACTGGGGGGCCTTTGTGGGAGCCACTTGCAAACTGGAACTAGGGGGGACTGGTGGTGAGGGGAGAGCCCCCCTGCTGGGTAAGGCTCCACCCCCCGAGGCTGTCCGTCACCGCCCCCGTGTCTCCGGCTTACCGGCATCATGATCACCGTGCCTGGGAGACCCCGGATCCCATCCACACCAGGGACTCCTGGGAGGCCAGCAGGGCCCTGAGAAAGGGGGCGAGACAGAGAGGATGGAGGAGGGGGCAGAGGCAGGAGACAGTCAGAGATGAGAGACAGCAGGGGAGAGAGGAGAAAGAGAGGACAGAGTAAAAGATAGAGACATGGAGAGACAGAGATAAACACGGGAAAGAGAGACAGAGATGATAGAGAAGGATACAGGCAGACAGATGGAGAGAAAGAGGCTGGGAGAGACAGAGATATACAGAGACAGAAAGGTGAAAGCAGGGAGAGACAGAGAGATAGAGAGAGGAAGACAAAGATGGAGAGAGGAGGAGGGGAGAGTCAGAAAGTGAGAGAGAGGAAGGCAAAAAAGGAAGAAGGGAAACAGACAGAGACGCAGGGAGAGAGACAGCGATGGAAGTCACTCAGAGAGACACGGATGGAGAAAAGCAGGGAGAGACCCCCCAGAGACAAAGGAGGAGCCAGAGAGAGTTCTCAGGTGGAGGCCAGACGGGCAGAAGGGGTCGGGCATGTCCAGGATGGTGCCCTCGTCCAGCCCCTCAGATGTCCGTGCTCCCAACCTGAACCTCATGTCTCCCAGGAGCACCCCAATGATCTCTTACCGGTGGACCAGGGTCTCCTGGAAATCCCGGGGGGCCAGAAGGGCCTGAAGGGCCAGCCACCCCCTATTGGGGACAGGAAAACAGAAGACACAGAGGTGCCAAGTGAGAGCCACGCCGACTTCGGACCCACCATTGCTCCCCAACCCTCTCCTGACCCCCCCAACTTTGCACACAACCCCTGTTTTGATTCATCCCTTGAGCCTCAAATGTCCAATGATCAGGCCACATTAGATCCCAATGCCCCACCCCAGGGGCTCAAAGGATAACCCCACGGGAAGGGAAAGCCAGGAAGAGGGGGTGCAGCCATGACTCACTCGGGGTCCTGGGGCACCTGCAGGTCCTTCAAACTGCTGCCCCTGATGAGAGAAACGGGTGTGACCCCCTTTCTTTTCTTTTGTGGAGAGAGGTTTTTGCTCTAGGGTGTGTATGCTCACCAGAGAGACAGAGAGAGACAGAGAGACATCACCTCCCAGGGGGGATGACCACGCTGTAATCCCTTCTCCTCCATTCTCCTCTTAGGATTTTGGGCATACACGCACACAGCTACTAGGTTTGGAGAGGTTTTTGCTATAGGACACGTGCACTTGCCAGAAAGACAGAGAGAGACAGAGAGACAGAAAGCGAGAAATCACCCCCCAGGGGGGATGGCCACACTGCAATCCCTTCTCCTCCATTCTCCTCTCGGGGTCTTGGGCCCGCACACGTGCCTGGCATGAGCTTAAGCCACCGGGTCCAGGAATTGAACCACGGTTGACTACATGGGAGTCCAGCGACACAGCCATTACGCTAACTGCTGGTCCCAAGCTACCGGGTTTGAACCACAGTTGACTGCATGGGAATCCAGTGACGTAACCATATGCCGTCTGCTGGTCTCAATTCTTTACTTTTTTTTTTTTTTGAAGGTTTTTGCCACAGGGTTTGAGAGCTCTCCAGAGAGGAGAGAGCTGCAGGGAGAGGGAAAGTGTGAAATCACCCCCAGGGAGGATGGCCACACCACAGTCCTTTCTCCTCTGACCTCTCAGGGTTTGGGGCGTGCACACACACGCACCCAGCATGATATTCCAGGTCTGGGACTCGAACCATGGTCGCCCCGTGGGAATCTAGCGCCCTAACCACCACACCTTTCTCCTCTGACCTCTCAGGGTTTGGGGTGTGCAAACACACGCACCCAGCATGATATTCCAGGTCTGGGACTTGAACCATGGTCGCCCCGTGGGAGTCTAGCGCCCTAACCACCACACACCCTGCCCACCCCAGGTGACTCCCTTCCCAGGCAGGCCCTTCAACCCCTCTTCAGCCCCAGGCCTCTCACCTGCTCAACCACTGCGGGTTCTCCTTTCTGCCCCTTCTGGCCAGCATTCTGGGGGTGGGGGAGAGAAAAAGGAGGGAAGACCACAGACCCCTCAGCCTGGTGACCTCATGTTCATTTCACACGTGGAGACCACCCTCGGAGCGCCCCCTCAGCCCGGTGACCATCAGGTGAAGGGAATAAATTCCAGAGCCTGAGCGTCAGCAGGTGACGTGGTGGTTAAAGGGAACCAGACTCCCACATGGCCAACTGTGGGTCGAGTCCTCGCG